GCAAAAAAAAAAAAAAAAAAAAGCAAGTTGTGAGATGTTGGGAGCGATTTTTTAAAAACATTTCAATATACACTTGACAGTTATTTCCATTCAATGTACTACAATATTTACTTGCTCAAGTACAATGTAATGACCTATTTACTAAAAATTTTTTTTTTAGAAGAGCTTTTACGGCGCTCGCAACTGCATAAGGTCATATGAGCGCCGCCAAGAGGTGGATGTCAACGGAGAAGTCATTTACTATTTGATATCACGAAAGTTGTACAATTCAGGAAGTACAAAACCCATATTTTCTTTAAGATCAACAGTGTCATTCCATTCTTTACATATTCTCTGACCTCAAACTTTTCCCTATTTACTCTGCCCAGCATCTGCAAGGATAGTCTGATCATTTCTTTTTGTTAATATTAGTGCTGGCTGTTGGATTAACAGAAAAAGCACGCACGATCATGCACCGCCCTTTAACTATCCCTGCACAGACTGCGAGCTCAAAACTTATCTCACATTTATTACCATCGTCTCTTGTCTGTCCATTTTTTTTTAAAAGTAAGAGTTTTACGGCACTTGCAACACAATAAGGTCATATAAGTGCTGAAGATTAGAGAAGTTATAAGAGAGTAATTTCTCGATTCTCGATCTTCTTCTTCTTCCTCGTTCTCGAGAAGAGAGTAAGTTACAAACATAAAAAAGAAGGAGGAGAGATCAGGACAATAGATGTTTGATAGGAAAGAAGGAGCATACTACACCAGAGCACCTGCCAACCACCCACACTTGTCTGTCCTCATATGAAGCTTCATGAATTACTCAACAAGAAATGCTGAAGCCAAGGGAGAAGCCCGCAAGCCATGCTCATCCAAGAGTGAAAATGATGAAGCTTTTAGAAGTTTAATTAAAATGTGGCAAACTCTTTTTTTTTTCCTTGGCCCACAGTGGTCTCATTGGCCATAGCAAAAGCTACAAGTCATTCAAATCCTCATTTCCTCTATCCCTCTTTTAGAAATATTCTCTTCTGCCAATGTATTGGTCATCTTCAGACAAATATCCTCGAACCATTATTATCATTGTCAACGAAAAAAAGAGGTACATTAAATGCTTATTTCCACACACCACTAAAAGTCCTTGAACAATATATATATATATATAACATATATATATATATATATAACCCTTTCTTCTTTTAAGAACTTGAACACTAGTTCAGTTTAGTAAGCGTTTTACGGTGCTCCCAACTGCATAAGTTGAACACTAGATTTCATTTCCACAAGACTCTTCGACACAAAGAGATGCCAAGTCTACAACAAGTTCTCAGACACGATCTGAAGACAGCACAAGGATTCCTCTACCACTGCGTAGTGGCTGTTCTTGTTATGTGAATTAACTAACACAAAGAAAGATACAGACCCATTACGAGTAGCGTTCAGTCATTACCATAGGACTGACAGCATCAGGATAAGAAGAACATTTCTAATATTTTGTGTATATATACACGTAGGCTTATATATGATATACCAAGTTCACAACGTATAACACTGAGACACTGAAAGATAAACGTTGAACAAAAAAAAATTGAAACATACACAAATTATGAATACAATGTAGCTGCTTTCCCTTCCTCGTGTTTTAAATAATGTACATATATATATATATATCTCAGTATATATATATACAAGTCACACATGATATAACTTTACAAAGCCGCTTTCTGATTGCAAATTGTAAAAAAAAGTTCAAGAGAAGGAAAGTTCAAGTAAAAAAAAAAACCTCCACCAGTCCAAGACGTGCCTAAGGGAACAATTTGATCCCGAGGGCAAAGGTCACCCATGTCGAAACAACAACGTTACAACTGGTTGAAAAGTAATAAACAGTACGTCAAACCAGACCCTCTATCTCGCTACTGCTATAGTATCTTTCTCTGTAATGTCGTTATCATGCTGAATGTCATGAGTTGTATCTAACACGGGTAAATCGATCACCAACTCTAACATTTGAGAAAAGTGCTTTACTGAAGAGTATGAACAAAAAAAGGCTTTCAAAAGTCTCCCTTTTCTAATTAGCGAACAAACAAACAAAATGTACTGCAATCACAGCGCTAGAAAACAGAGACTTTTGAAAAGCTGCAGAGGCATACTCAACCATGTTCAGTTACACACTGGGTAAAAAAACTCAGATAAAAAAGCTCCAGCAATAATTTTTCAGAAATGCCGTTTAACTTCGAAAACAACTTCCTAAAAAAACTATCCTTCTTCTACATTCTCAACTAATGATAATTATGATTATAATTTCCGCCTGAGGTGTTTTGCGGTATTTGAGTCAGCCTCCAAGATGATCGAGTCTTACATATGAAAGACTGGCATCCATTCAAACCGTCAAAATATGGAAAATCTTGCTTAGAAATACACTTTATTCCACTGCAGAATGACTTATTTCAAAGGAATCAATGAATGAATAAAACTCAAAGGCTTACCAAAAATTTGCTGTAAGTTTTAAGTCCGAAATATTTTCTTATAGGCGTAACAACTACGTAATTAACACTATGGTCTAAAGTGAGTGTTGCAAGATGCATCGTTTTAGTGAAAATAGCTTTGATTTAGTTAAATTATAAGCTCACACACTATCAACGTTTTAAGAATGGAATATTCTACCAATACGTGTATTTGTAATCAATGCTGCATCCTAATACGAAAATAAATCACACAAAAAATAGAAGGCCTAGTAGTTGGCAGTTGTCACAACTGTAGTGCAAATGTAGTGCAAGGGGCTCATAAAAAGGGAGAAATAAAAAAAAAAAAACACAAACCAAGTGAGGCTGAAATCACAACACGCACACAACACAACACAACGCGCATACAACACAACACAACGCGCATACAACACAACAACGCGGTGCCACCCTCCACCACTGTACTGACGGACCCCTTGACAGTTCCCACCACAAGGAGGGGAGAGAAAAAAACAAGGGGTGTTGTTACAACGCTAACGAGAAAGGGAATAAACATTACTGAAGATTTTACTTTTATCGCAAGTGAAGTTGTCACAACGTTAACGACGAGAAGGGCCATGAACTTCACTGAAGATTTTACTTCTTCGATCCCACTTATAGATCATGAACAAGAACTAAGCATGTTTGGTGAGGGCGGGGGGGGGGGGGGGGGGGGGGGGGTGTTCATATAATGTTTACAACAGAGAAAATCAACTTTAGACTTTTTAATGGATCACTTATAATGTTTCTCATATTGTTTTATTTCACTTCATTTTGAACAAATTTATCTTTCAATCCGCTCTGGCTTTCAGTAAAATTATGCAAAGCCCTTCCTATTACCCCTCCCCCCCCCCCTTTTTTTTTCTTCTTCAGAATACTGATACAATGCATCATGTGAAAAATTACTTATCAGACAAACAAAAGAGATTAAAAACAAAGCATTAGTAAATTTGTCACTTGGCAAGTCCATTAGATTTAGTTTAAAAGTACCACATCAATATCTACAGCGATGAATTAATTGACTACAGATAAGAAAAGAAAATTTTTTTAAAAATAAAAAAATTAAAGAATTCCATGCATCACATGCTCACAGACTTAACTTTCTAAAATCCTTTTTTCCCCCTCATTCTTAAAAAAAAAATTTAGGCAGATATTGATTCTGAATTCTTTTCTTGTGGCTTTGTGCCTGACACAATGACGTAGAATGGTAAACTAACTGACAAAAGAGAACTACTTATCTCATAGAAACAAAACTTCCCACACGAAGATACTATAAACACCTTGGACCACTGACAGGAGAGGGGGAGGGTGTGTGGGGAGGAGGAGGGGTCAGGGGGAGGGGCGGGGCGGGGCTTGGAATACAGGGGGGGAGGGTGACACAATTGTTTCAAAAGAACCAACAAAAAGAACTGGGTAGGCAAGGACAGAAACTCCACGGCAATAGGTGAGAAAGTCGGGGGCCACCAACCTGCTGTTTCAAGGACACGGGCTGCCATAGACAGATCAAGCAAAAACATAAGGGACTGAGTACACGAACAACTCGGAAAAGGAAGGAAAAAAACAATTCTTTTTACATTATAAGTGTTTTCGGATGAAGAAAAAAACAATTGTTTTTACATTATAAGTGTTTTCGGATGAAAAAAAAAACAATGGTTTTTTCATGTATAAGTGTTTTCCGAAGATGAAGAAAAAACCAATTGTTTTTACATTATAAGTGTTTTCGGATGAAAAAAAAACAATGGTTTTTTCATGTATAAGTGTTTTCCGAAGATGAAGAAAAAACCAATTGTTTTTACAAGTATATAAGTGTTTTCGGATGAAGAAAAAAACAATAATTGTTTTTACAAGTATATAAGTGTTTTCGGATGAAGAAAAAAACAATAATAGTTTTTACGTGTATAAGTGTTTTCGGATGAAAAAAAAAAATTGTTTTTACATGTATAAGTGTTTTCGGAAGATGAAGAAAAAAACCAATAGTTTTTACATTATAAGTGTTTTCGGGTGAAGAAAAAAACAATGGTTTTTACATGTATAAGAGTTTTTGGATGAAGAAAAAAACAATTGTTTTTACATGTATAAGAGTTTTCGGATGAAGAAAAAAACATTGTTTTTACATTATAAGTGTTTTCGGATGAAGAAAAAACAATAATTTTTACATTATAAGTGTTTTCGGATGAAGAAAAAAACAATTGTTTTTTACATGTATAAGAGTTTTCGAAAGAAGAAAAAAAACCAATTGTTTTTATATGTATAAGTGTTTTCAGATGAAGGAAAAAACCAACTGTTTTTACATGTATAAGTGTTTTTTTCAACCCCCATTGACACAATTTAGACAATCTAATTAAGAGGCGGGCTTCTGACCCTGCCTGTCACAACCAACATGGGCTGAGAAGAATACAACATCCCAGCAGAAAGACTAGACTGAGATACTCAAATAAAACTTCTCCCCACTCAGGAATCAAACCTGGATCTCCTGGGTGTGAGAATGAAACACCTAATTGTATGCTACACCACAGACACCTTCTTCACAAATCTTGACAATTCCAAAAGACAGTCAGCGCTTTCACTTCTGTGATGTGCGTCTCCAATAAAATAATAATAATAATAAAAGTAATAATAATGGTAATAGTAATAAATAGCATTTGAAGAGCATTGGGGAAAAACAACGATAGTCACAAACAAGAAATTATGAGGGTGCCAATTTGAAAAGCTTGCGGACTCAAAACGTCATATTTGTTTGACTGGTGGTTTATTGTTAAGTGTTGTTGAATGGGAAATCTAATAACAATAATCAACTAACAGTTGAACAGAAATACAGTTATGAGTCAACAAGCGTTCAAAATTGACACCCTCACAATTTTCAGTTTGAGACTAAGGTCGTTTTCCCCCCATGGTCTTCATTTGTATAGTGCATACCCCCGCTGACAGCAAGCTCTATGCAGTTTACACTACCGGTATATTATATGGGTAAACTCATACGTACACACTCATAAAAATAGCTTTTACACTTAACAATACATGTACGCATGGAGACTAATAAATGGTCGCTTTTAAGGGCAAGCGGGCTAACCCAGATTTCGGGGGTTTCCAGAAATCTTGACCTACACCAAAAGCGGGCATTGCCCTACCTATAGGAGAAGTTTGGTTTCATTGGTGTGTATATTTGTTTGGTTCTAGTTCTAGAGAAAACTCTCCTTGTCTTTTGAAGAAACTGAAAAAGGGGCAAAAATTTTACATTCAATTTTCTCAAAACATCATTTTTCAGGATAGCCCCCTTGTGCTTAAAAGCGACCACATGTGACCTTTACACTCTCACTCAGGCATGTAAGTGCGTGCACGCCCACACACACACACTCACATACGCACTCACACACACAGAGAAATAAACATCCAGTCATTTTCATCAATAACATTTTAAAGGTACGCCATGGCGTCACACCGGAGAAAAGAATGGCACAGCTGAGAAGGGACACAACAGAGGTCACAGATAGACAGACAGACAGACAGACAGACAGACAGACAGACAGACAGACAGACAGACAGACAGTCAGACAGACAGACAGGAAAAGTACGCCTGAAGCAGTGAGCTTGCCTTCACTTTGCAGAAGTTATCAGGCACATGATGTGAGCTACGGTGCTCACACGATGAAGGAGCAGGGGAGAGAGTGGAGCCTTTAGTTTATTTTTAGTTGAGGCTTTACGGCGTTCGCAACTGCATAAGGTCACATGACCACCAAGGTGTGAATGTCAACAGAGAAGTACTTACAGGGAGTCAGACTTACTCTGCTCACCCCTCTAGCCTCAACAGCACTAAGTCTGCTTCGACTATAAAGACACCCCGGAAATAGCGGGTCACAAGAGTGTGACAAACATACAAAAGAAGTAGAGGAAAAATGACAATAGTAAGGATTCAGAAAGAAAAAGCAGCAGTTTCCTGTTGTAGATCAGGCACAGTTATGAGAATGACATTGATGAATCAGCCCATTTATAATTCTACTGTGCATGAACGAGAAATGTCCCCCCCCCTTTGAGAATGGCCTAAAGACACTTCAGTCTGTGGAACCGCCTCGGGGGTTACTCACAGAATAATTCATAAGCAGGGGAGAGGGAGTGACCAACAGAACATCTTGTGTGAAGCAGTAACGGAGAACACAGTTACATTTACACACAGAAAAAGCATTAACTTGTTTGGTACATTTGTATTTATAAATATATTCCGAGTAACAGTTCAGTGTGGTATATTGTTAGGGCTATATTCGTCACCAAGAGTTGAGACCAATAAAAAGGAAGTACCACCTTCTTATGTACCTGCGAAAGGATATAATTTATTATGGAGCTAAGTCAAAGTTACTGCTTAAAGCATGATAGAAAAATGTTTTATATATGACAAAGAGTCACAAAGAATGTATTGATGAACCTTCACTGGATCGGTTTTTGACTGTCACTAAAGTGTTTTAAAATTTTGATAACGCTTTCAAATCCGAAGAGTAAAACAGCAAATATATCGTACATCCTTTCTATCTCACCGTACACTTTAACATGCTGTGACAAATACAGGGGGCCTATTGATTTTTTCTCTCAATGAACAATAGTAGTCATAGAATGCTGTTACTTACGAGATAAAACACAGACTTTGAACGGGGAAAAAGCCGATTTATAAAATCAAAACAGTTCTGGACCAACGACTTTACAATTCTAGGAGTATTTTTCCTAACAAGAGTGTTTAACTGTGAGATTTTAGAAAAGAGAAGCCGTCATATGAGCTTGTCCACAGACTCTTTCCATCTCAGAAGAACATTTCAAGTTTTTCTTCTACCATAACTTCAGCAAAAGAGACAAATTGCTAGCACTCATGATATCTATTTGAGTGCAAGACTCTTTCTTTCTTTCTTTCTTTTCTCTGTGCATGAATGTGTTTTTGTGTGTGAGCGTGTGTGTGTGTGTGTGAGCGTGTGTGTGTGTGTGAGCGTGTGTGTGTGTGTGTGTGTGTGTGTGTGTGTGTGTGTGTGTGTGTGTGTGAGTGCATGTGGCTTGTTAGATAAAGCTATGGGAAAGAGAGAAATATAAAAATATTTTAGAAAGAATGCGCTATCATTAGAAAAAAAAAGAGAGAGAAAAGATAACTTTTATAAATAATATTGCAGTCAAAATTGACTTCGAAAGGTACAATTTAGATACGTACTGCTAATCAAAACCTCCACCAGCTTTTCTCATCAATTAATTCTCGCTGAAGCAGCCAGAGAAAACGTACAAACCAAAAATTACTCAAATAAAAAAAAATATATAAAAAAGTAAATGTGAAAATATTTCAAACGTCAGTGGAAACAAGAAGAAAAACTTAATGAAGGAAGCTGGTAATGAAAGCACAAGAAGGTTAAGTAAGTAACTGCTTCATTAGAAGTGTCGCCATGGAGACCAGTAGAACACTAAAGTGAAGAGTCACCACTACTACTGATTTCTCAACAAAGATGGGTGGCCATCTGGGATAATTTCGGCTGCACCATGACTATAAGGTAAACTAATAGAAGAAAGCAGAATGAGATGGATGGACAGAAGAGAAAATGTGTTTTATTTTATCAGTTCGCGACCTCAGTACTTTCTTGTCGTATCTCCATTTTTTTTTTAAGCAGTGAAAAAAGTTCATAACAAAGAGTGAGCTTAAGAAGAAGTCACATTTTCACTGTTAACAAAAAATGGAGATAGGACGAGAAAGCTCTGTGGTCTTGAGTCGTTACTGAGGAAGGAAGACATCATGGTGCTACAACCGTAGCTGGAGGCGACAACACTACCATAAAGAAGCAGAATGAGAGAATGTGAAGGAAACAAAGAGAAAAACGTGGTTTACTCTCGGTGCTTCGTCTTCCAACTTACGAGCTGTTGTTCACGGCCGCACGGGAAAGTAAAAGTGGGAAAAAAAAAGAAGATAATTCCCAAATGTGTCATGGAGATGTTCAGTAACAGGGTTAATTCCAAGAGATAAATTAAAAAAAAAAAAAAAAAAAAAAAAAAAAAATACAACCATTTAAAAAAAACCTCCAAAAACCACAACCGGTCCTTACAGAAGTATAACTTAGTTTAAAACCAGGACAGTTTTTATAGAGGTGATACCATTAAGGTAAAACATAAATATGTTCACACATGAATACATAAATCACACATACACACACTAGCACTCTCTCATGTATATTTTCAAATACAATCAGACAAGTACATGTATAAAGAAAAATACCCCCCCCCCCCTCCCCTCCCCTCAAAACACAAACACACTCCTTTAAGACGCACCACACTCATACACACACACACACACACACACACAGAGACACACACATACTCACCTTTAAGACACACACACACCTTTAACACACACACACAGTAATCTTTTTAAAATCAAAATATTAACGACACACAGCAACTATGTGTCACAATTAAAGAAAAAAATAATGGCATCCACTTATTGTCAGAAACAACAGTAATACAACGTAAATTTTATCTAAGAACAAATATCTAGACAAAGTTAATCACATGCGTCTGTGCTGGGACATTTTCATGGTTTAAAACGACATTTCTCTTTAAAAATAACATGTTTCAACACATAAATTAAGAGCATTAGCCATTTGACATTAGATTTTCTTTCACACTAACATCTCTTACTTAGTCTTTCCCTTGTGACAAAATACAATCATGGAAGATTGTTTAACGTTCCCATCAACATTATTAAGGTCATTATAGGAGGCTGGCTGCTTTGAGCGTGTCATTCAAGGCTGACAATGGAAGTGTGGGATACTTCGCCGCAGCAGAAAAACTGAGATTCTTGATCTTGATCAAAATCAAATATTTTCTTCACACAAAGACCAAACTTACGTCTTCAGTATGCAAGAAGGTGGGTCTAACCATTGTACCAAACACCAGTTCTGACCTGTACTCAAACACATACATACACATATATGCACGCTCTCTTTCTCTCTCGCATGCACATACATACACGCAAACACACACTCCCTCTCTCTTTCTCTCTCATACCCTCTCTCTTTCTCTCTCAAAAAACACACTCTCTCTCTCACACCAACAAACACACACACAAAAACACACACACACTCTCTCTCTCACACTAACACACACAAAAACAAACACACGCTCTCTCTCTCACACACACACACTACCTCACTCTCACACACACACACACTACCTCACCAACCCCTCCCCCCACCACCACCACCAGTCTCTGTCACACCACACAGATGTCCGGGAACCTACCATAGAGTCCTTTGTGTTGGGGACGTGGTGCTGGATGTCCTTGATGGAGCCAATCAGGAACGGGATCCTCTGGTCCAACACCTGGAACCATCACAAAAATACTCACGATAAAATATCATGTTAGGAAAGTACTTTGGATGCAACCCGGGAAGAGAAAAACCAAAGACAACCCCCCCCCCCCCCCCCCCACAAGTAAGCCACTGAGAATGTCGAAATGTAACAAGGGACTTGAACCAGAAACTTCAGTATACAAGGCAAGCACTTTATAAGGAGGAGGAGGAGGAGGAGGAGGAGGAGGAGGAGGAGGAGGAGGAGGAGGAGGAGGAGGAGGAGGAGGAGGAGGAGCACCAGCAGCAGCAGCAGCAGAAGAAAAAGAAGAAGAAGAAGAAGAAAAAGAAGAAGAAAAAGAAGAAGAAGAAAAAGAAGAAGAAGAAAAAGAAGAAGAAAAAGAAGAAGAAGAAAAAGAAGAAGAAGAAAAAGAAGAAGAAGAAAAAGAAGAAGAAGAAAAAGAAGAAGAAAAAGAAGAAGAAGAAAAAGAAGAAGAAGAAAAAGAAGAAGAAAAAGAAGAAGAAGACTTTTCATCCTCGGTTGCCGTCAAGTGTCGGGGAGAGATGCAGTTTTATATGGTGAGAAATATTATCGCTCCTATCAACACTACCACATTATTTTAAAAGCAGGACCTCCTAGTTTAACGTCTATCTCCAAAAGGACCAAGGCCAACTCTGCGGCAGGACAAAATTTTTAAAAGTTTTTTTTCGTAAAAGTGGCAAAAGTGGGAACGGCTGGGTATAAATAGTTTGGCGAGCCCTGCCATAAATCATCAACACCACAAAAATGGGGATTGTCTGTCTTTCCTGTCCCAAACACACACACATTTCAACCTCAGTGCTTTCTTGTCGTACCTCCATTTTTTAAAACATTGATGAAAATGTGACTTCCTCTTAATAAGTTCACTCTTTGTTATGAACTGTTTTCACTGTTTAAAAAAAAAGGAGATAGGACAAGAGAGCACTGAGGTCACGACAAGAAAGCACTGAGGTCACGACACACGCTACACCTACGTCATTCAGGGCCTCCTGGGCCAGGGATCGGAACGCCAGCAAGATACCAATCCTGGTCATCCTCATGAGCAGCACGTCAGCGTCTGCAGGGAGAGAAAAACATACCTCGGCGTGAGCGACATCTTTCTTAGGCAGTTTGTCATATACAGTAAAATCCTGATAGCGCAAACTTCTCAAGTGGCGATATACAGTAAAATCCTGATAACGCAAACTTCTCAAGTGGCGATATACAGTAAAATCCTGATAACGCAAACTTCTCCAGTGGCGATATACAGTAAAATCTTGATAACGCAAACTTCTCAAGTGGCGATATACAGTAAAATGGTCATTTAGTGTAGGGAAAGGGTAAGACAGACAGACAGACAGACAGACAGACAGACAGACAGACAGACAGACAGACAGACAGACAGACAGACAGACAGAAAGAATAGAGGGTAAGAAGAGAAGAAGGAACTACCAGTGGCTCCCCCCCACCCCCCACCCTTGGTCAAGTGACCTTACAAGTTTGCAACAAAAATCTCATCAAGCATTTGGTGACAAGAGACAGCTCATGAAGAGGAGACAACTGAAGGGGTGAGGTTGGGGTGAGTAGGAGAGGGGGGGGGGGGGGCTGACGCGGGGCTGATGGTACATAAAGGAACTTAGAGTATACCTGGTGGTAGTTATAAACTTGGGAAGTGGCTAGGGTGGGAAATACGTAGTAATGAGATAAATATTTAGAGAGAGAGAGTGATCTTCTTTTGATCAGAACACAATGTACTGATTATATATGTTACTGTTGTACTGTAAAGCGCTCACAACCCGGTGTCTTTTAATTAATCAAGGTTGAGGGCTATATAAATGCCATATATTTAGTCCACTGTGGGAACAGGTGGGTGGGGGGTGGGGAGGGGGGTTGGGGAGTTGGAGGTTGGGGGTGGGGGACACGGCGTGGGAGATGGGCACGAACTCAGCTGAGTTCTATTTTTATATTTGATCGTTTACGTAGGGAGAGGAGAGTATATAGGAAGAGGATATTGTGAATCTTAAATTGTGAGTTCATGATCAATGATTTTACACACAATAAAATTGTTCACATAACAAAATGGCGTAAAAAAAGGGATCGTTGGCGAACAGTTTAAATGTTTTAAGCCCAGAAAGGAAAGTTTTCCACAAGACAGAAAAAACCCTGACACCTGTTCCATTCTTTTAAAAATTGCACCTACATTACGTATCTTTTCTTGCTTTTTTTTGCATTTAGAATTTGAATTGTGACAAAATATTTTATAAACAAATGCAACCGATATCGCAGATTAATCAAGAAACTGCAATTTTTTTTAAAAGTTCAAAATGTTGGGCTTAGAACATCTAAACAGCTAGTAGACGATATATACAGTGCAACCTCTCTATAACGACCTTCGATACAACGACATCCTCTGTATAGTAACATGACGCCCAGGTCCCCATTTTTTCCTTATACATCATTAGTAATATTTTGGGTTGCCTCTCTGTGATGACAACTCTCTAGAACTATAACGACATTTTTTTCTGGTCCCGACGATGTCGTTATAGAGAAGCTGCATTATACAAACATTGGGATTTTAAAAAAATGGGAATACATCCATGACCACCTGCAGCAGCGGCAAGAGCTGCCAACTTCTCCCGACAAAAAACCCCCAACAAGAAATAAAAAAAGAAACCAGACCAGAGCAAAATTTTTGGTGAAAGCTCAAACCAAATTAAAAATCAAAAACTGTAAAATGTAGGTGTCTTTACACCCCCATCAATATGATTTAGAAACCCGATAAACACCAACATAGAAGGTGGAGATAAATCAAAAGACAAATGTACAACAACAATGTCTTAGAGTATCCAACAAAGAACTGCACACAACTGTATTTAAAAAAGAACATTTTACCAGCATTTTTACTTTTCTTCTATTCAGTGTATTTATAGTGTCAAAATGGGTCAATGTGTCTCATTAAGCCACAATTTCACCAATCTTTGACGTTAGAGTCAACTTATAAGACAAGATAAGATAGGATGTTGATTTTAAAACACCCCTTTCATCACAGCGCAATAAGTTTTGGGGAAAGAAGATATTCATAAATCAGGACACAAGTCAAATCTCATCAAGCCTTAAAATATATATACATGTACGATAATCTCTTGCTGGCAGTACCACTGCTGCAGAGATTGACACAGGAAATAAAATTATACCGCTCAGAATCAACTCATATTTCGTATTTGTAAAACATACTGCTCAGAATCAACTCATATTTCATATTCGTAAAACATACTGCTTAGATTTAAACTCGTATTTCATATTTGTAAAACATACTGCTAAGAATAAACTCATATTTCATATGTGAAAAACATATAGTTAAGTAAAAGCTCTATTTCATATAATATATCCGTGTGCGCAAAGGAGAAAGAAATGCAGCGTGAGCAGCTACAGTGTCAGATTTGCCTCACAGTGCATGAGGAAGGCGCACAATAAGCAAACGAAACAATCTATTCTAAAGTCAAAGTGGAATGAGCAAAGCTGGGAAAGGAAATAAAGCCGCCTGTCTTGTGTATGCTGTAATGACAAAGGAAAAAAATGGAAATACAAAAGGGGAAAAAATGCTCCCAAATAAAACCCTAACATGCTTTTTTTTGTTTTGTTTGAGTACAGAGAAGCCACATTGACACAATAGCATAGTCATTTGTTTTTTTGTTTGTCTGTTTGTTTGTTTGTTTGAGAAAAGACAAACCACATTGAAACAAAAGCATAGTCATCTGTTTGTTTGTTTGTTTGTTTGTTTGTTCATTTGAGAAAAGAGAAGCCACATCGAAACAATAGCATAGTCATTTGGTTGTTTGTTTGTTTATTAGTTTGTTTGTTTGTTTGTTTGAGAAAAGAGAAGCCACATCGACACACCAGCATAGTCATTTGGTTGTTCATTTGTTTGTTTGTTTGTTTGTTTGAGAAAAGAGAAGCCACATTGACACAACAGCATAGTCATTTGGCGCAGGGGAAAAAACAATACCGAGGAAAAACTGCTGGGGAAAAGCAATTGCAATACAGAGAGACAGAAACATCAAACAACATAGAGAAAGAAATGAAGAAGGACTAACCAACAATTGGCGCCCTTCAACTATCTGCCCCCGTCATGCCCACAGACAAAACTTACGTTGTCAAAACTCAAATCGATCAATTAAAAAAAAAACAATATCAGAAATAAATATCTATGAAAAAAACCGCTGAAGAAACTAATACTGAACTACGAACTTCAGATCGTGACTTTGTCTACGATAGAAACTTAAGCAGGAACAGTCAAGAAATTATTTGTGTCAGGCAATGAAATTGTGCAACACATCATATTACTATGTGGCATTGTGGCGAAATTAGAACCTCGTCAATATAATTACTAATGACATCGGAGGATTTGACATTTTCCGCCCGCTGGGCAATTTTTTATTGTTTTATTTTTCTGATTTTTTATTTATTTATTTATTTTTCTATTTTTTAAAATTTGATTATTATTATTTTATTTTCTAAATTTTTTTTTTTTTTTTTTTTTTGGGGGGGGGGGGGGGGGGGGGGGGTCAATAGCTTTTATGTCCATTTAAATATACATTTATGTGTGGATTTTTACAGAAAAACGATAAAAGGCACACACAAAAATGCAAATTTGCAGTTTCCAAGGACACTCAAGCTTTGAAAATCACCGACTTTTATTGCTATTTTCTCCCTAATTTCATCTGTAACACCAAGCAGCTCCTCCATTCCTATATATCTCCACTAAACTTTTCTTCAAGATAGACGGGTATTTTTTTTTTCATCAAAGGCAAAAAAAATGAACATGCTTTGAGATGAAACCAATAACCCCATATGCCCCCAAATCGACGAGAGCCCGATTCCATCGTGACGTGACACAATTATGTATTAATTGCAAACAGCGACATAACACCCCCCCCTCCCCTTGCCCACCTTCTTAAACCACCAAAGCCTACAAATCTTATTGATCCACAAAAATCGGCTTTAACAATAATAATGTACATCATTTTTATAGCGCCCACACCTGTGTGAACAGAGCTCTAGGCGCCTTGAAAGTTCTCTTGAACATTTCTCTCTCCTCCCAATAGATTACTAGTTAAATTAATTACCAAAGCATACACATTAAGTAACCACAATTTTTTAAAAAAGCACCAAGAAAAAAATTAGAAGTTAAAAAATGCAAGAAAAATAACTAACGTCTACCTTTCCTTTTAAAATATTTCATTAAAAAATTTATGTAAAAAACCCCCCCAAAAAACTCCCAAAAAACCCAACCAGACATGAACGGAGCGAATGTAACTATTTTACGCTCCCCATTCACACATCAAAGACATAAAAGAGTTCATGCAAAGAAAAAGAGTGAAGAAGCATTAAAAAAAGAGCTGTGCGTATTGAATCAACGACAAAGCAGGCAGGGGATGCAGAATTTACTGCGAAGAATTAAACAAGCTGTAGAAGGAAAAAATACAACAACGTAAGACAAGAATGAAAAAAAATGCAAATACATTCCAGCACAAATAAGAAGAAATTTTTTTTTGAAGCTACAAGTTGCAAGGATAAGAATTGGGGAACAGGGAGGGTGGAGGGAAGGAGGGGAGGAGGAAGAAATTTTTGAGGATGATGAGCTAACTAACCATGCAATTGTCATGCTTTCAGACTTAGGGTTGGACCACTGAGAGTGCGGGGGAGGGGGGAGGGATTTATTGTCGGCCAGCTGTTTCAATGTACAAAGTCCAAAATTGTGAAAATTGTCTTTACAGAAGTTTCTTATGCTACGGTATTGGTTCCACGTGCTCAACAAATATCTGTCCCCCTGGTTTTATGCACCCCGCATAATTTAGCAAAATTTGATCATTTTTTGCACAATTTCAGATTTTTTTCCTTTATCAGTCTTTGTTGAAATTAACAGAATCGCATAATTTCACATTTTTGGGCTCAGTTTGCATAATGTCAGAATTTTTCTTGCATGAAACCGCGGGGACAGAAATATTCTGTTTTAAATTCAAATTCAAAATTTTGAAGAAAAAAAAAAAGCAAACCCCCCCCCCCCCCCCCCCCCCCCCATAATGTACGAAGAATTGTTCAAAGAATATAACAGATTTGTTCTCTCTCCGCGTAAAACTTTTGCTTTTCAGGACTCCGTACATTTGACCAGCTTGCCGACAGTATATATATATATCCTGTTGTTAGCCGACTTGACAGGAACAACTTACCACACGGAGCATTCTTGTACGGAGCTTGTAAAGAACAAAAATCATGGCAATTGTTAGCACTATCACCAGCTACACATTTGTGTTTAGTTTTAGTAAGAGTTTAACGGCACTTGCAACACAATAAGGTCATATTGTAAGTGCCGAAGACTAGAGGTGTTACAAGAGAGTAACAAACGCAAAAAAAGAAGGAGGAGAGATAAGGATGATAGATGTTTGATAGGAAAGAAGGAGCAATTAAACCACACCAGAGCATCCGCCAACCACCCACTGCTACATATTTGTGGGACGGAAATATATGAATGACAACTTCTGAGTGTGTAACTGGCTGTCACACTGTATGTCCCAAGCACAGTCAACAGCTACATAGTTGTTGGAAGAATTAGAAATATATGAATGACAACTTTTGAGTGTGTAACTGGCTGCCACACTGTATTCCCCCACAAGACCTGGACAAGGGATTGTAAAGTACGCGCTAGCAAAACTAGTTATTGTGCAGTCATAAAAGTAAAATGCTTCAATTAGAAAGGCAACAAAACTATAAATGAGAACTGCATACTCTAGACCTCGCTTATTCCAGCACTGACTCACTAGCAACGGCGGTTCTAGAAAAGAAACCACCCTGGTCCACAGAATCGTCGGTCGAATTTGACGACCTTCTACTGGTGCAACCTTGTCCTACCCATGCCGAGGGTAGGATAGATTCTTTTCAAAGATAACTTTCATAGCTAAAAGCTTTTTAGTTTTAGTAAGAGTTTTACTTACGGCACTTTCAACACAATAAGGTCGTATAAGTGCTGAAGAACAATAAGGTCAATCAGTGCAGAAGATTAGAGGTGTTACAAGAGAGCAACAAACACAAAAAAAGAAGGAGAGGGGAGATAAGGACCACAGACGTTTGATAGGAAAGAAGGAGCAAACCACACCAGAGCACCCGCCAACCACCCACTAAAAGCTTTTTGTATTAAACAAGTCCATTTTTCGTCTAATTTTCTTCTCCTTCCACTCTTAAGCTTTCGACTGTATTCCCATTCACCATGCGGTTTCCACACTGTTCCCCCAGGGACATCACAGGCTAGCCTACACACACACAATAAATGCTATGAGCTAATCATGATGGTCAGTAAATGTTTTACAGCTCTTGCAACACATTAAGGTCAAATAAGTGCCGAAGATTAGAGGTGATACAAGAGAGTAACATACACAAAAAAGAAGGAGAGACCAGACTACCAAACAGCAAAGACAGTCACAACAAAATTGATAAGACATTTTCCTGTGGACAAAAACCATGCACTAGCATTCGAAGCAAAGAAAAGAGAGTAGCCGATAATCCTGACATGATCATTAAAAAAAAAAAAATTTTTTTTAAAATACCATTTTGGCACAAAACGTGTAAATCCATTTCGTGGCATAAACACTAGCAAATTGTTACCCTTGAAAGTAGTAATTTTTGGGACTTGCATACTTTGTAACAGTTATCATTGGTACAAATATATATAATTCCACCACCCAGACTGGTAACTCTCCAAACAGTTCAATGCAATACCACAACACGAGTAAGTAATATCCGCAATATCTAAATATCATAATTGAAATACAACCATTATGACCTCAAACACACACACAACAGAAATTTGGCAAAACTTCTGCTGTGTGTGTTTGAGGTCTGAGCCATTAGTAGGTTTTGTTAAAATCTACGGGTGAATATGTGACTGTTCTATATGGTTTTTGAATACACATGCGAGACGATGCAAGAGGCATGGCATGAATGCCGAACAAGGAGCAAAACTATCATCATGAAATAAGAAAGAATCTCAGAGTACAGAGATACGAAATAGAAAAAGAATCTCTGAGAATAGACAGAGCTGGAGACAGAAGGGAAGTTTCATAAATGACAAAGCAGCCACAGAGAGAGACAAAGAGATGCATGGCAAAGACTAAGACTAAGACAAGAGCCAGACTCATCAGCCTTGTTGCGGAGAATTGGGGACCACTGCGAACCACGTAACTCAAAAAATGTCCTTTAGATTTGGATAAAATTCCTAGTATTCTTCTCAAAAAGAACACCGCTTGAAGGCTACAAGAGAAGACATAAGTGCTCCAAGGCCTGTAATCAAAACACTCCTGAATCAATCAGTACCAAATGGCCACCTCAGAATTACAAAGTTCTATCTACTCAGTACCTAGTTTTGACAAATTTGAAGTAAAACATTTTGGTTTCACAAAATCTCAAGCTTTTTCAAATACAATTCTTAGAACATCTCGATAACGACTCCGAATAATCTTACGATTTTGAAATTGATCGAGCTCACAAAGCATTTGACATCTGATCTCGTGGCCTTGGTAACTCAAAACGTCCAAAAATGTCAAAACTTTGTAATTCTGAGGTAGCGAAAAACTGGGGAGTGTGGGGAGGTTGTCTCAGAACGCAGCTCCCCAATTTAAAAAGTAACCCATTAACCCTCTTAGCACCATAAATGGTCGCTTTTAAGGACAAGCGGGCTAACCCAGATTTCGGGAGTTTCCAGAAATCTTGACCTACACCAAAAGTGGACATTGCCCTACCTATAGGAGAAGTTTGGTTCTATTGGTGTGAATATTGTTTGGTTATAGAGAAAACTCCTCTCCTTGTCTTTTAAAGAAACTGAACTAGGGGCAAAAACTTTACCTTCTATTTTCTCAAAACAGCATTTTTTGGGATAGCCCCATTGCGCTTAAAAGCGACAAAATAAGTCAGCAGGTCAGCACAGCAGAACTAAAATGGCTGCAAGCTGATAGCTTCCCAGGACCAAATTTTATTTCCGCGTTTTTCAGAGGTTTAGGGGGCGAAGCAAAGACATTGCTTTTGTTTTTTATTTAAGCAGCGTATTTTAATGAAATTTCCTATACAAAGACCCAGGACGTCAGCATCTAAATTTAGAGTGGAATGTTCTTATTTCTAAGCCTTCACTAAGGGCGGGTGTGTCTGGCCAGTAAAAGCCGGTGTGGCTCTACAGCCGAAAAGCCTGTAAAAGCAAGTATGGCAACAAGACGGAAAGGCCGGCGGTTTAGGCCCGTACGGCTCAAAAAAGGGTCAAGCAACAAGAATTATGCACTGCATCCAGGCCAAATCAACAAATTATCTTGAAGAGCCTAATTTGCTACAATTCTAGCCTCTGCTGATACAATACATTTCTTTTGTTGTTTTAGTAGAGGTTCAGGCACAGTATGAGCATGACACTGATGAATCAGTCCATTTACAATTCTACTGTGCATTATAACATGTAATTAATCAACAAGTAGTTGTCTTGGACAGGTTTGACTGTAGGAAAAAAACTACATAGACAGGTCATCGCCTCAGCAGAACTATTTAGCCCAAAGTGCCTCTTTACTTCAGCATACTTTGGACAAAATAGTTCTGAGGTCACAGTTTTGTTTAAGTAGAGGTTTTACGGCGTTCGCAACTGCATAAGGTCATATGAGCGCCAAGGGGTGACAGTGACAAGGTCACTGCGATGGATCAACACACAAGCATGTACGCATGCATAAAAAGGGACTCGCATCTGTTTTACATCGGTACACAAGGTAGGTCTATAAGGAGACCTGAGAAGTGACGCACGACACGTGTAGCAACCGGACAAAATGAGTCACTCGTCACACTCAGCTGTTTCGAGATATTGGAAAAAAAAATCCACCTTTTCAAAACTGTTTGTTTCCGACTTCCTAACTCCAAGTGAGTATAACTTTGGAACTAAACCAGCTAGACCGATACAGTTTTCACCCACTTGTATGGCTAGAACCCTTCTTTTATATGATATCCACAGTATTACAATATTTAATAATAATAATAATAACAGTGATAATAATGATAATCATGATAATAATAATACTCATCATAATCATCATCATCATCATTCTGAATGATTCTTAGTGTTCCATGGTCTGCTGGGGTAATAATAATATAGTGTAAAGCGCATAGAGCTTACTTTCGAGTGGGGACATGCGCTATACAAATGCTATTTATTTATTTATTGATTCATCTATCTATCATCATCATAAATTTCATTTAAATTGCCCATTTTCATCTCGACGAGATGCTCAATGCGCATCATGTGACATGTGACTCCTTCCATCCCGTTGCTATACAATAAAATTCGTCGCAGTTGTCACCAAAAAGCAGACACAACAAACTCAGCCTACGTCCTACGGGGGTAACTTACTCATGAGCTTGCGCACCAGTTCCCTCATGACCTCCGGCTTGTCGAAGCTGCTCCTCAACTGAATCAACGTCTCCTTGTTCTGCACCACAAGTTTCTGACAAATACACAAAACATACGATTGAGAATTAATAGAACAGAAACCTCACTTCACGTAAATAACCCTCTAGTACCCATAAAAAGTTTCTCACAAATACACAAACATAGAGAGAAAGAAAAAGAGAGAGGAAGACAGAGAGAAAAAAGGAGAAAGAGAGGGCAGGAGAGAAAGAGGGAAAGGAGGACAGAGAGAGAGAGAGAGAGAGAGAGAGAGAGAGAGAGAGAGAGAGAGAGAGAGAGACAGAGAGACAGACAGACAGACAGACAGACAGACAGACAGACAGACAGACAGAGAGAGAGAGAGTGGGGGGGGGAGGGAGGGAGGGAAAAGAGAAACATAAGTCATCAAGATCAGGATGGGGTGATGAAAACATCAACAGACGCGGGACAAGAAAACCGTGCTACAAACTCACCTTGATTTCATCCACTTGGGTGGCTATGTTGAGCATAAGCCTCTCCCCCATATACTTCATGCCGTATGGACCAATCAGCTCTGCCAGAGCCCGCAGTTCTGAAATATACACATCATTCGTACACACGTCAAAGAAGGGAAAATGTAGGCTACACAGCATTTTATACGTCAACGAAGACAAAATATATATATCGACACCCTTGTGATAAGACCTGTTAACTCTAGTGGAGTATATTTTACAGGACAGGCAAAAAAACAAAAAAATTAAGTGTTACGATGTGGTAGAATCAGGCGCTCGTCAATTTTTGGGCATATAGAGTTATTGGTACTATCTCAAAGCTTGTTCATTAGTTTTGCATATGGTAAGAAAAAAAAAATACCCATCTATCTGGAATAGAAGTTGAGACATTTGCGATTGAAGGAGGTGGGGTTTGCCTGGTGTGAGAAGTCAAATTGGCAAGAAAATGGCTGCCAGAGTCTGGCGACTACCAAAGCTTGAGTGTCCTTGAAAACTGGAAATTTACATTTTTGCGTCTTTAATCAATGTTTTTCTATAAAAATTCACACAGAAATGCGCTTATAGAAGGACATCAAAGGTTTTTAAAATTTTATTATAGTAGAGAGTTTTACGGCGCCGTTGAAACGTCTGCAATGACCAACAACGACTCACCAGTGAGGTCTGCGTACTCCTCGGCCGCCAGCATGGGCCCGTCTCCCTGGGCGACCGTGACAAACGCTTTGCGGCTAGGTGAGTACACGATTTGTCCGGGGTTACACGCCACTCGCATCAGGAGCACTTCCAGGTACCTGAGATGACCAGCAGGATTTTATTTCACAATTTCTGGTTTGTTTTAGTAACAGGGATGCCAAATGACTTTTTGTTAAAAAAAACCCTGAAAATGAGACATCTCACCTAAAACGAACCTTGTAAAGTTTTTAAATGAGCAAACAAACAAAAATCTCTCTTGGCAAGTGTAAGAAAAAAACCCCGGAAAAAAGCCGGAAAAACGGGAGATTTGGCATCCCTGTAGTAAGAGTGTTACGGCACATGCAACACAATAAGGTCATACAAATGCCAAAGATAGATAGGTGGTGTCACAAGAGAGTAACAAAACACAAAAAAGGAGGATAGATAAGAGTGAGAGATGTTTGATAGGAAAGAAGGTGCAAACCACACCAGAGCACCTGCCAACCACCAACAAGGACAGATAAGGACAACAGATGTTTGAAAGCAAACCACACGAGAGCACCCACCAACCACCCACTGCAAGGAAAAGTTAAGACCAACAGACAGAAAAACAAGAGAGCAACAGAGGGAAAGGAAGAATTCAGAGCTACCAACAACCCACACACCGACCACTCGAAATATGAGACTTCGTGCAAACTTTCGGATCTTTTGGTGACATTGCAAAGATGGCTCCTCTCGGGAGCGGGACGGGAGGGTGCCCGCCTCGTGACTCAAAAGAGCAGAGGAATGTACGACTGATATAATTTGGACAATTAACTACGAATTAGTTACTGTAGCCACTTTTAGTTGGGTCCATTGTTGTACCTGGATGAGTAATTACATAAAAAAAAAAAAAAACAACCCCCAGTGCACATTTTGTTGGTACTACTAAACAAAAAAAAGCGCCAGTTGATAGAAATGGGTGGGAAATTAAAACAAAATATTTACATATAACCCTATCCGTACATCGTGTTTAACTATCGTGTCCATACGACGTGGGGAACTCTGTGCCACCACTTAACCCTATCCGTACATCATGTTTTACTATCGTATCCATACGATGTGGTGAACTCTGTGCCACCACTTTACCCTATCCGTACGTCGTGTTTTACTATCATATCCATACGATGTGGGGAACTCTGTGCCACCACTTTCCAAAGAGGAAATTTACTCGTTAATCCGATCCATACCCTTTGCATAGCAGTCTGTCAAAATGATTTTTTGAGAAATACTGGAAGTTTCAAAGAGATCTTCGTACTAGAAGTATTCTAAAATGTGAAAAATCCAACCTCGGGGGTACAAAATGACCCTAGGGCGTACGGATAGGGTTTTAAAAAACCAAAAACCCAACCCACACACACAGAGAAAACAAGCCCTGTCCACTGACCAGTGCGTGTAGTTGTGTGTGATAGTTTTCTCTCCCTGTGCGTCGGCCGGCTGGGTCTGCATGGGCAGGACATTGTTAAACACACGCACAATGTCAATGTGGACTGGGGAACGGAAAACATGCAGAACATTGAGTAGTATTCAAAATATTGTACGTATGTACGTATGTGTGTGTGTGTGTGTGTGTGTGTATGTGTGTATGTGTATATGTGTGTATGTATGTATGTATGTATGTAGTAAACTTGATCAATGTATTCAAAATATTGTATATGTATGTATGTAGTAAACTTGATCAATGTATTCAAAATATTGTATGTATGTATAAATGTAGTAAAATTGATCAAAGTATTCAAAATATTTTGGTATGTTGTAAACTTTAACAATGTAAAGGGCCATTCCATGCAAAATGAAACTGCAGTGAATCACGTAATGTGGAGATGATAAGATGATATCCCAAAACACGTGATGCAGAGATGAAAGCCTGCTGAGAAAAATTAATTCTATTCAGCCACAGAGCCGTTTTGAATTTCGGGTTTTTTTCTGAGTTTTTTTTGGTTAAAGGCAACCTTCCTTTGACCATCCTTCCCCCCCCACATCCCCCCCTACCAAAAAAAATTAATAAATAAAAAGAAAGAATATTGGCTCTATCACCATTTATTCTTTATTCTTTCAGCAGGTCATCCCCTCTGCCTAACGTGTGTCAGTGCAGTTTCATTTTACACAGAAAGGCCCTCATTGTGCACTGAAACATGCCAGGATAATAGTGTTTTTAAAGCCTCTTTCAGCTGTCTAAGTGTTTTAATTTTTAGTTTTACGGCACTCGCAACACAATAAGGCTGTATAAGTGTCGAAGATTAGGGGCGTTACAAGAGAGTAATCAACACAGAAAAAGGTTGGGAGATCAGGGCGATAGATGTTTGATGGGAAAGAAGGTGCAGACCACACCAGGGCACCCGCCAACCACCCACCGAGTAAATGTAACAGAATGCACAATCTTATTAGATATAAACAAAACAAGTCCGTGGTCTCACCATAGTTCTCGATGCTCTGCAGGACATTCATGTACGCGCGGACGCCGTTCAACAGCTCCGAGGGTTTAGCGATCTCATTGGTCTCAGCGTTGAACATCATCATGCCCACCAGAGCCCTGTCCACGAAGCAAGACGGAAAAAAACCCAACACATCCATTAGTTCTGTTTGAGTTTTAGTAGAAGTTTTACGGCGCTCGCAAAAGCATAAGGTCATATGAGCGCCAGAAGATAAGAGGTGTTACAAGAGAGTCAAAAACATTTAAAAAAGAAGAACTGGAGATAAGGACGATAGATGTTTGATAGGAAAGAAGAAGCAAACCACACCAGTGGACCCACCAACCACCTATTTGAGTAAAGATATTTTGGGTGTTTTAGTAGAGGTTTTACGGCGCTCGCAAATGCATAAGGTCATATGAGCACCAGAAGATTAGAGGTGTTACAAGAGAGTAACAAATATAAAAAAGAAATAGGGGAGATAAGGACGATAGATGTTTGATAGGAAAGAAGAAGCAAACCACACCAGAGCACCCGCCAACCACCCACTTAGGGCTGTCTGAGTTTTGAGTAAAGAGAAGCACACAGACACAATAAAGGTTATGTAGTAGGACGGAGAAGAAGCAGGACAGACAGACAGACAGAGAGAAACAACAGATGGAAAGAAAAGAAGTAGGACCTACCAGTAGCACCCTCCAACCATCCGCTTAGTGCTACAAACTATAAAACTCTTTTGCCCCAGAAGCACAGAAGACGAGCTGTTCAAAATAAGAAGTAATCAAACACAAGATATAAGACGGTCGTTGCGTCTTTTAACTCTTTATCTGTCCCCGTGGTTTTATGCACCCCGCATAATTTAACAAAATTTGATCATTTTTTTCATAATTTCTGATTATGTTCCTTTATCATGCTTTGTTCAAATTAACAGAATCGCATAATTTCACATTTGTGGGCTCAGTATGCATAATTTCATAATTTTTCTTGCATAAAACGACGGGGACAGCTTTATCTCCGGCAAGCCACTCCCAGCGGCTCCTGGTCCGAACTGCTGTGCCGGTGACAGTGGCTCAGTCACATTCCTTTACGACGACTTCGACATCAAATTACTTCTTGGCAATGGCCGAAAACAGGTCTTTTCATCGGGATTTCATTAATTAGAGGAAGAACTATCGAAATAGGCTCACGTATTTTGATTTAATGACCAGTTTAGTGACATTTTCGTTATTTTTAGATTTAGTACCAAAGCAGGGCCACCGGTATAGTGTATTCCCTTCCTCGGAGATAAAGAATTGACTCACTTGTTGAATCTGTTCTCCAGGTGTTGCAGGAAGAATTCCCTGGGCACAAAGCCGTGGTCCCACACCTGTATGACTGTGCAGTAGTTGATGGCATAGCACAGATCTGTCAGGGCCATGTGCAGCTTGTCCATCCTGATAAAGAAAGACACACACACACAATCACAGTATCGTCAACAGCATGATTGTTTAGTTGTTTGTTTTAGTAATAGTTTTACTGCACTCCCAACTCAATTAGGGTAAAGTAAGTGCCAAAGCTTAGGAGTGTTACAAGAGAATAACAAGAACGAAAAAGGAAGAGGAAGAGAGATAAGGACAAGAAAGGATAAGTTAAGATTAGTAGGCGAGACAGGACAAGATGAGATGAGATGAAACAAGGTAAGACAAGATAGGATAGGAAAAGCTAAGATAGGTCTGAGATGAGACAAAGCAAGATAAGACAAGACAAGACAAGATAGGATAGGAAAAGCTAAGATAAGTACGAGATGAGACAAAGTAAGATAAGAAAAGACAAAAGAGGAAAAGCTAAGATTAGTACAAGATGAGACAAAGCAAGATAAGACAAGACAAAGGAGGAAAAGCTAAGATTAGTAGATGATAAGATAAGATAAAACAGGCGGGAAACGTTGCGGGGGGACTGACCGCGTAAAGTTCTCTCTGTTCTTGCGTATACTCTCCACCCCAGGCTTCTCCGGCTCCTGGATCTTCTTGCTCTGTTTGTCCTTGGGCTTCTGACGCTGGCTCTGGATGATGGCTGCACTGTGCTTGGGGAGAAGCTGTTGTGGGAGGGGGT